CTTACTGGCACTTTCCACGGCTGCACTCTCTGCCCCGAGTCTCCACTTGGCAGTTCAAAACAGGAGGAGGACAGCCACTCATTTGCTTCTTTGGCTAGAAGATGCCAATGCCAGAGGTCACCTCCTCCCACATCGCCTGTGGGATCAGCTGGATCCAGGATTACTGGTCTAAAGGAGAGTTGAGAGTTAGAGACTAGGAAAGGGCTGTTTGTTTACAAGACCGCTGGCCTGAGCATTTGCTGCAGCTGGCTCTATTCCCATCATAGACACAATGTATCCTGGCAGCCTAGGTCAAGCAATTTGAATCTACTTAAGAGTCAAAGTAACTTCCTAGAATTGTAGTTGAAAGCCAAAAACCGTTCTGAAAGCTGTTGTTTACTTCTCACAGTGAGCCTTAGTGATGACCCCTTTCAAGAGACTCTCACCCAACCACAAGATGTCACAGTACAATGTTGCTAAGTAGGTCAGCACTGGTGTGTGTGTGTGTGTGTGTGTGTGTGTGTGTGCGGGGGCTCACACTTGAGCCTGGAAATGGCAATGCTGTTTCTCAGGGATATCCTGCCACCTCAGACCCCTCTCAGATTGGCTAACGCATACATTTCACATTTCCACATAACAGAAGAAAGATAGCAGTGAGGGCACCCTCTGCCCCCCTCCCCCCTCCCCCTTCCCCACTTCTGCATCCCTCCTGGCTGGACAGCCCCTCCCACTCCCGAGGTTGGGTTTTCTCCCTGGACTGTCACTCATCCCTCAGCTTCTCCCTCAGTTTCCCACTGGGAATGAACAAGACCTTGGGGAGAAGGATCCATGTCATGAAAGAAATAGTGCAGAAGGGAATCGGGTTAATTCAGAACAGGGTGGGGGACTGGGGCACAGACACCTCTTTTTCTGGATCTGAGCCAGTAGGAACGTCCTTATCAGCTCATCTTCAAAGTTGTAGTTGACTGTCCAGAAGATGCAGAGCTGCTGGTATTTGATGACCAGGTCCAGGACCGTCCGGAAGCCTTCAGCAGTGTCGAAATCCTCCATGCCGCTGCCCTGCTCCCAGGCGTACACGGTGAGAAGCTCCAGGGCGTACTTCGGGGGCAAGGATGCTTTTGGCAAGGATGGTTTTGGCAAGGATGGTTTTGGCTTCATTTTCCTTTTACACTGATGGGGAGAGTGGAGATGTCAGGGCAACAGGGTTATGAAACAGAACTTGAAAGAGGGAGCCCCTGAGTCCTAGGTAGGCTTGCTAGACTCTGAGTGGTACACAAAGTGTCCTTTGTTTGGACAACAATGTAATTACTGGCTCATGGGGACCCTCTGCAGGCTATGAACCCTGTACCATGGATTGCCATGTCAGAGGAAGATTGGCTGGGGGATGGGGAGGTAGGTGGAGTAGTAGTGGGATTGGGTGAGGAGGGGGAAGGGTGGTGCTTGAGGGAGTCATGTGACTTGCTGAAATTCAAATCAGATCTCCCCAGGCCCCTAGGCCTCAGCCACTCATGATGATTTGAGTCTCTGCCACAGCTTCATGTTGCCTTCTGAGAGACGACACGGTGTGCATAGAGCTGTACTGGTAACCTGTGGCATGCAACTTTAACTTCCACCCGTGCTTCTCAGGAGAACTTGGCTGCCACTGAATTCTTTGACCAGTGTGAGGTCAGAACAAGCCACACATTGCTCTGATGTTAGGAGGCTCTATAGGCCTGACCCAAATACACAAGTAGCGGAACACAATCAGAAGACCCATGGCTAAACAAGCAACAGCTTCCCTACAGAGGCCCAGCCCTGAGCACAGGAGGATGTGGGTGTTCAGGACAGTTGGCAAAACTGGTATCCTAGCTTGCTGGTAGAACAACAACCACATTGGCCAAGGCAGGGTCTGGCTGACCTGTTTGTACCAGTGCTTGACCAAGCGAATCAGACTCTTCAGTTTGGTGGGTTGGGGTTCAATAAAGTCACGCTGTAGCTCTGTAAAACAGGTGGAAAACTCTCCCTCCTCGAAGCCTGATGATTTCCATAATGCAATGAGCTCCTTGTAGGCTTTGGGTCTGGAGGTGAAGCCAGGATGCAGCTGACCTGACATGGGAGCAAATGTATGTTAGTCCTATTGTATATGGTAAGTAACAGAGTAACAAAACCGTTTTTGGTTTTTTTTTGAGACAGGATTTCATGTAGCCAAAGTTGGCATTGAACTTGCTGTGTAGTCAAAGTTGATTTTGAATTTCTGATCCTCCTGACTCCACCTTCCGACTGCTGAGATCACAGATGAGTACTACCATGCCCAGTGTATGGGAGCTGAACCCAGGTTTTGGGCATGTTAGAAAAACTCTCTATAGACCTCAAAACTGTGGTTTTTCAAAAAAAATTTATTATTTATCCATTTATGTGGCTTTCCAAGACAGGTTTTCTCTGTGTAGCCATGGCTGTTCTGGAATTCACTTTGTAGACCAGGCTGGCCTCAAGTTCACAGAGATCCACCTGTCCCTGCTTTCTGAGTGCTGGGATTAAAGGTGTGTGCCACCAACGCCTTACTCAAAAACGTTATTTTTATTTGTATGGGTATGATGTGTTCACACCCATGCAAATGTGAGAGGCTGTAGGGGCCAGAAGAAGGAACCAGGTCCCATGGAGCTGAAGTTACAAGGGGTGAGCCACCAGACTCTAGTGCTGTGAACCAAACTTGGGTCCTCTGAAAGAGCAGCAAGCCCCCCTTAGCCAATGAACCCATCATATATATATATGACAAGTGCAATTTCATTCTGGTGGGAATTTCCTTTGAACCATGTATATGTATTTGAATTACTGATGGGTATCCAAGATGTAGACAGTAGTGACTCCGTGGTCTGGTGGGTGCTGGTAATTTCACAGTAGCACACACACACCTGTGGTACCCACTAGGGCAGCCACCAGCCACTGTGGCTGGCTATATTTGAGATAATTAAAAGGAAAAGAGACAAAAATTCAGCTCTTTGGTAGCTCCAGCCACACCTCAAGCTCTCAGTGGATTCAGAACACAGGTCTAGATGTTTCTCAGTGTTGAAGAAAGACCTTCCTGTCAGTTCTGAGCTCATTCACACACTGCCGTTGCTGAGGAATATTTAGTCTACCTCTCATTTTTGTCAATACAGTTTCACTGGGACCCAGTTGCCCCTGTTTGTGAATCTATCGCACAAGACTGTTTTCAGATAGAAATGTCAAAATCGAGTAGTGGGAAAACTGTGGCCTCCAAGACTGAAAACATTTGCTGTGTTGCTATACAGGTGAGTTTCCTGTCAACGTGACACAAAGCTAGGCACACCTGAGAAGAGTGGGTCTCAGCTGAGGAGCTGCTTCTGCCAGGCTGGCCTACGGCCTAGTCTGTGGGGGCTTTTTCTCAACTGATGAATGATGTGGAAGGGCCCAGCCCTCTGGGGGTCCTGAGTTGTATAAGAAAGCAGGCTGAGCAAGCTAGAGGGAGCAAGCCAGTGAGCAGTGTTCCTCCATGGCCTCTGCTTCAGTTTCTGTCGCCAGGTTCCAGCCCTGACTTCTCTCCATGACTTACACAACTGTAAGAGGAACTAAACCCTTTCCTCCCCAAGATGATTTGGTCAGTGGTTGCATTTTGATTTTTTGTTTGTTTGTTTCATGACAGGGTTTCTCTGTGTAGTTCTGACTGGCCTCGAGCTCACAGAGATCTGCCTGCCTCTGCCTCCCGAGTGCTGGGATTAAAGGTGTGCGCCACCACCGCCCAGTTTGGCCAGTGTTTATCTCAGTGACAGGAGGCAGACTAGTGCAGCCGCTATTTCAAGAGCAAACTGACAAACAGACAAAAGTGGGTTGAACCCAGTTCTATAGACTCCTGTCTCTTTTCTGAGAGAAATCAAAACAGCTGGGTTTTGTTTGCAGTTGGGGAGAGATGTGTCAAACCCAGGATCCTCATGCTAGGCAAGTACTCTGCCTCTGAGCTCCAGCCCCAAACAATGGGTAAGAGCTTTGTTTGCTTTACCCTGGGGTGGTGACATTGAACACAGAGCCTTGTACATGCTAAGCAAATGTTTTACCGTGATTAACCCTGGGCCCCAAGAACCACTCAGGTGGAAAATACTATAGTCTTCATAATTATAAGAAATACAAACACACACACACACACACATATACATACACACACATATCGTATCTTGGCCTCTGTATGTGCATGGGTGTGAGAATGTGTGTGTGTGTGTGTGTGTCTGAGAGAAAGAGAGAGAGAGAGAGAGAGAGAGAGAGAGAGAGAGAGAGAGAGAGGACACATGAAGCAGCCTATGGTCAATCTGAGAAGTTGATTTTGACGCAGGGACCAGCCCACTGTAGGTGGCACCATTCCCTTGACTGATTAAGAGCTAGCTAAGCATGAACCTATGAGGCAGCAAGCAGCATTCCCCCGTGGTTTCTGCTTCAAGTTCCTTCCTTGAGTTTCTCCCCTGACTTCCCTCCATGATGGTCCTCCATGATGGACTGAGATCTGGACATGTAAGCCAAACAAACCCTTTTTCCTTTGCTTTGTGAATGTGGTGCGTGTGCCTGTCTACACACACCCATGAGAGGCCAAAGGAGGATGCTGGCCATCTTGATGCATCATCCTTCACCTTATCCCACTGTGACAGGGTCTCCCCCTGAACTTCAATGTGATTCAGCTAGACCCTTTCTCTCTCCACCCGCACCCCTCCCCAGGCAGTACTGGGGTGACCAGTGTGCCTCCAGTAGAGACTGGCTTTTTATACAGGTGCTGGGGATAAAACTCAGGTCCCCACGACAGAATGGCAAACACTGTTACCGTGGAGCCATCTCCCCAGCCTACTTTGAGATCTTTCATTCGTCCATATATTTCTGTATCTCTCACCTGTGAATGGGCTTTCTGAGGAGGAGTTTTCTTCACCCAATTTCCTGTCTCTTACATCACAAAGCACCCCACATTCTGTTCTTTAGTTCCCTTCTCCACAGAGGAAATGAAGGGATGTTATCTATGTTCTGTATGTAACTGTATGTGCCATTCCTCACACACCGTGGAGAACAGAGCCAGCAGCTCCTTGAGGCTGCCTGGACTGCATACATGAGAGTGGAATTGCATGTAGGTGTCAGGGGCCTGGGCAAGAACTGGGAGACAATTCCCCAACCCTCCCTGGTTTTTCCTCCACGTTTTCCAGAATCTTCTCAGGAGCTAGGGTCTGTGGACTCCTACCTAGTGCGTCATAGGCGGGCAGGACATCAAAGTCGACACTTTCGCTGAGACTCCTGGATTTCAAGGTGAAGCTCAGCACCCTGGGGGCCGTCCTTTTTGAAATCTCAAACTTCACCTCCAGCTCCTGGGTCTTTTGGAAGATTTCTAATTGCCTCTGGATTTCCTGGACGAACAGTGAGCGCTCCTCTTTTTGGGAGTCGAAATTCTTCAGAGGACTGAGAAACACTACGATATCAGCATCTGATCCATACTTCAGAGCCGTGCCTTTGGCAGTGGATCCTCCCTAGGGAGGAAAGAGAAGGTGAGATGCTGCCTCCCCTCACCCTTGTCTCCCTGGCTCCCAAGAGCTGGCACCGGCAACAGGCCAGCACTCACCTTGACGACCTTCTGCACTTTGGTGCTTGAGTCCTTGAAGCAGTTGTTTTTGAGGAATTCACAGATGATGTAAACAGCTTTTCCGATATTGTCCAAGAACTTTTCATTGGGCTGGAGGAAGTCTTTGATAAATTTGTCCAGTAAATGGCTTGGGGTGATGAAGAGTGATGTGGGCTGGGGAGGAGAGAAATTTGGTGGGCTCTGCCCAGACGCCACCCCAAAACTCAACTCTCTCTTCCTGCTAGCCTGCTTCCAACAGTGGGCAGAGACCTTCCTGTCTTGCACAGATATACTCTAAAAATGTTCTTGAGATTCTGGGCAATCCTTACCTCCCGTGGCCCACCCCCTCTCCAAGCAGAAACTCTCCTGGTTCCTCATGGGCTACTTGGGAGAGCTCTAGATCCTTCTGAAGGGGTTGTGGGATGCAGACATGGTAGGTGCCCTGGGCCAGAATGAGGAGATCCCCAAAGACCTTCCACGAAGCAAGTGTGAGGGTCAAACTTGGAAAAGTAGATGTGAGCTCAGACACAGAGAGTAGGGCCTGGAGGGTGTTGGACTAATGGCTTTGAAGGTGGATAAGGAAGTAGGGTCAAGGAGCTTGAAAAGGGAGCGAGGCATCAAGTGTCTCTGTCCGAGCTCTGTGAGACTGCATTTGGATTGCCCACTGCTGTAACGATAAGGTTATAGATTTAGGGGACACTGTTTAAACAGTGGGGAGGGAGGAAGAAGACAAGTCTAAGTGATAAGTTTCCTGAAGAGCATTGGCAGAGAGCAGTGCAGCCGTCTGGGAACAAGAGAGGGTGCTTAGCTTTGCAGGCTAGCTGCTCTTGGTCGGACACCCTTAGATGTTGTGACCCTTGGCACATACTTGACAGTGGCAGCAAACTCAATCCTTCCTCTCCTACAGATCAGAGGGTGTACAGGGTGGGCATGCGCACATGAGTGTACATGTGTCGTGTGCATGTGTGAGTGTGTATCATATGCAAGTGTACACACGGGGATGCACACATACGAGAGGCTATATATGAATATTCAAGAATACGAGTGTTCTGTTTGCATGTGTGAGTATGCACACCATGTACACACATGAGTGCATGCACATGTGAGTGTATGCAGTTGTGAGTGCTGATGTTTGCTCACAAGTGTCAGCATTGTGCAGCACCTGTGAGAGTGTGAGGTTCCAGGTGCAAAGGTGCGTGTTAATATGTGAGTGTGTATGTTTACACGTGAGTGTGTGCGTACATGTGATAAGCCTGAAATGCTCATTCCTGCTTGTGTGTTGGTTCCTGGACTGTCAAGAGAGGGATGATGTCATGGTCTGAAAGGCCCGGCTAGTGGAGAGCACAGGGATCAGAAGGTGTGGTAGGGACTAGAGCGACGGCTCATTGGTTAAGTGCACTGTGTGTGGACCCAGGTTCAATTTCCAGCACCGGGGTGGTGGCTCACAGCTGTCTGTAACTCCAGCTCCAGGGGATCTGACACCCTTTTCTGGCCTCTGTGGGTATTATACACACATAACACAACATATATTCAGGCAACACTTGTACACATAATATATATATCGAGACATGGTTTCTCTGTGTAACCATCCTGGCTATCCTGGAACTCACAGAGATCCTCTTGCCTCTACCTCTCGGGTGCTGGGATTAAAGGGCTGTGCCACCACTGCCTGACATTAATTTTTTTTTTTTAGAATGTAGGAGAGACATGAAAGTTGAACATATCATGTACCTGTGTGTTAGTAGGGGGATCTATGGGGTGCTCTTGGGATGGCTGTCAGAATATGAAGATGGTGCGTGTGTGTGTGTGTGTGTGTGTGTGTGTGTGTGTGTGTCTTATAATTCGACAGCACTATGAACTTAAATTTGGTTTTGACCACAGCCCAGTGGCTGTGGAAGTGAAGTACCCTCCAGAGGCTCTGGTGACTTGCAGCCACCACCCTAGTGATGAAGCTGAGGGTGCGTGCGATGTCACCCAGCCAACAATGGCAGGTGCCAGAGTTCCTGTCTGTGAAGCTCACACAGGCATTGTGCATCTCTTTTTGCAGCAATAGATGTTTGAAAACTCAGAAGGAAACTAAGGAGGTTGTCACAAGGAAGTGAAAGACCAGGCTCTGGTGAAAATGGAGCCCGGGTTGGGGGACATGGGAGCGATTGTGGTTTCCTTGGCATCTACCTGGGGAACAACCCCATTCACAGACTCTGCTTCCTTCTGTCTGTACCAGATTGTCAGAGTCTGGTAGCTCTGTAGATGGAGTGTGGCCCTTTGCCTCCACACTTGGGATAGAAGTTTGCCCCTTACCTGTTCTCACAGGTGGGGTTTGATTGGCACGTCTGTCCCACTTCGAAGGCCAACAAGGCAGCCTTTGTACAGACTCAGCTGGTCTAGTTTAGGGATGCTCTTGATGCCCTCTTCCGACAGGCAGCTAGATTATATCTGCATCACTGCTGGCCCCGCACCCAGGGGCTGGGTCTCAGGATCTGCTTAAGGGTCACAGACATGAGTTCTGTACACTTCTAGAAGGCTCAGCTCCTTGTCTGCCCCCCATTCCTGCCTCCTGATTTCACTCATGCAGAAATAAACCCATCTCTTTTCTGGGAAACCCACTTTATCTATAGCCCCCCCTTTCTGCCTCACAGTCATCTGTGTGGCCTCTAAGAGTTGGTTGAGTTGTATCTCCCTAAAATGTATCAGGATTTGGACCTGTCGTACCTGTGACAATGACCTAATAGGAAATGGACTTAGAGAAGCTGGTAGGAGAGGGTCTCCAGGGTGAGCTCCAGCTCAATATGACTATTATCCTTAGAGGAGTGGGGTCCCCAGACAGACCCACATCAAGGAAAAGGAGCGAAGACAGGACAGACATGTGACAGTGGAGGGAAAGACAAGGTGATGATGTCACAAGCCGAGTCAGGGATCAGAGCTGTCCGGGGAGAATCCACCCCTCCCCTATTCCTTGTCTTTAAACCCCCAGCATCCAGAACAGTGGGGGAAATGAACTCGGTTGCTGAGGCCACACTGAGTGTGTGACCACCATGTCACAGCAGTCACACAGGCAGCCAGGACACACTCTCTCAAGTCAGCGTCAGGAGGACACACCCTCTAGCATGGACATCCTCTTACCAGAACATTCCAGCATGGTGCAGGTGGCATATCATTCAGGCTGGGAGAGTACAGCCAGGCCAGAGCCGCCTCTGTCAGCATCTCCCAGGAGCCGTCGTCTTTGCCCACATTATTGGTTGGGTCAGTTGGATCCAAGATGACTGGTCTAGGAATTTTATCAGATTAAAAGAAATCAGGGCTGAGCTTAGTAGCGCACATCTTTAATCTCAGTACTTGGGAGGCAGAAGCAGGTGGACCTCTGTGAGTTCGAGACCAGCCTAATCTATGTAGTGAGCTCCAGGCCAGTCAGGATTGTACAGTGAGATCCTTGTCCCCCGAAGCAGCGCCTGGGAAGATAGTTTAGAAACTAAGACTGCTTAAGAACTAAGTCCTTAAGAACTCAGTTATAAGGACCAGGGTTCAGGACCCACGAACAACATAGGTGTTCCTGTACATGACTTCAGTCCCACCTCTGAGGGGTAGAGACATGGGGACCTCTGGGGCTTGCTGACTTCCAGCCTAGTTGAGAAAGCCAGAGCTCAGAATGAAGAAGAGAGCCCTGCCGCAGAATAATACTCAAAGGACACCTATATCCTCTTCTGGTGCACAGATGCACAATTTTTTTTCGAGACAGGGTTTCTCTGTAGCTTTGGGGCCTTTCCTGGAACTAACTCTTGTAGACCAGGCTGGCCTTGAACTCTCAGAGATCTGTCTGCCTCTGCTTCTTGAGTGCTGGGATTAAAGGCGCCACCTCCACCCGGCCAGACACAAATTTTAATAAAGAAGTTGGGCTGGGGAAATGGGTCAATGGGTAAAATACCTGCCTCACAAAAAGGCCCTGAGTTGGGGACCCTCAAGACTCATATAAGAACTAGATGCTGGTGTGTTTGTAATCCTAGCCCTGAGGAGGCAGAGGTGTGTCCTGGGACTTGCTGGTGAACCAGTCTAGCCTATTGGTGAACATTGGTGAGAGACCCTGACTCAGTAAATAATGTGGAATGTCTGGAGAACCCCCTCAGAGGTTAAAAGCACCGACTTCTCTTGCAGAGGACCTGGGTTCAAGTCCCAGCACTCACATAGTGGCTCACAACCATCTGTAACTACAGTTCTGGGGGGTCTGACATCCTCTCCTGGCCTTCATACGTACTGTGTGCATGTGGCAGGCATACACATGGGGAACACACATACACATAAAAGAAGTGAACCTTTGACAATAAGCAGAGAATGAAACCTGATGTCAACTTCTGACCTCCATGTGCATCTGTACAGACGCACGCGAGTGTGCGCGCGCACACACACACACACACACACACACACAGAAGGGAGAGGCTGCTGAGGGCTCTGCGGTACCTAGCCACACTGACTCCTCATCCTCCTCTTCCCAGAGATGTTAGATCTCAGGGTTCTTGCTGTGAACTCCTCCCCTTCCTCCAGGCTTTGGGGGGCACAGCCTGACCACGGTTTGGAAAGTGGAATGCATTGACTGAATCTCCTCTGCAGACAGATTCTCATTCCCCCTCCCCCTCCCCCATATCAGGAAGGACTCAGAACTCTCTCTCAATGGAGCCCTGGCCTGTGGCTGGAAAGATCGGAAGCTGGGTACCTTTGGGACCTGAGTTGGCACAGAAGAGTGTTGCGAACTGTTACATTCTCGAAGTTGTAATTGACTATCCAGTAGACACACAGCTTTGATGACTGCTTGATGAGGCTCAGCACGGTCCTGACACCCTCTGCGATGTCAAAGTCCTCATCTTGGCAGCCCTGTTCCCAGGCATACACAGTGAGCAACTCCAGGGCGTAGGAGAACCGCGGAGATGGGGGAGTCATCCACTTCTTCTGGCACTGGGAGAGAAGACAAGACTGTCAGGAAGCCAGAGCCTAGAAGATGTCACTGTCCCCCGTGCCTGGAAGTCAAGGTGTCAGTACCATCGGACACAGATGAAGGGCAGGAAGGAAGACCTGGGTGTGAGTGTGTGACACAGTGTGTAAACCTGGGCGGGTGTGAGTGTCTGTGTATATGTGTTGTGGGTGTGTGGGACTGTGTGTTTGTGTGATTGTGAATGTGTGTATGTGCTCATGCATGAGTGTGTGAACATGAACACATGCTGTGTGAGTGTGGGCGCACGCGAATGTGTTTATGTGAATGTGTGTGAGTAAATATGTGAGCACAGAAGTGTGAGTGTGTGAGTGTAAACATGTATGTCAGTGTGTGCATGCATGTGAGTATGAGCTGTGTTTGTGAGTGTGTGTGAGTAGGCCAGAGGTCCAGGTCAGGTATCTCCCTCAGTCACTCTCTACCTTATGTTTTAGAACAGGGCCTCTCACTGAACCTGGGGCTCACTGATTGGCTGCAGTGACTGGCCAGTGAGCCCAGGGGATCCACCCGTGTCTGCCTCCTAAACACGGAGTTACAGACACAGGCTGCCACTCCTGGCTTTACACGGGTAGTGGGCTCTTCCGTGCCTGTGCAGCGTGTACTTTCCTCACTGAGCCTTCTCTCCAGTCCCAGTAGAGTGGTGTTAAAAAGATCCATTTGGCACTCTTTATTAAAGCTAAATAAGTACGCTGCAATATATCTCATACAGAGCCCACTTATGCAAGTATAGACACACACGTACATGCTGTCTGGGGCTGTGTCTGGAACTCCAGCAATTCTACTGCATGTCTACCCAAGAACAATGAGTGCTTACATTCACAAACGACATATCAGAGGACACCCACAGTGACCCAAGTCACAGACGTTACAACCTAGAAATGACCCTAGGGCCCGACATCAGCAGAGAGGAAACATGGGTGTGTTACTATAATGGAACATACGAGGGAGTGAAAACCATCGCTATGTAATGATGTGGCTGGATTTCTCAAACACGGAGTGAAATAAGATACCACCTGTGTGCAGTACGATCCATCTATAGTGTTCGAAAATAAGGGGGGGGGGCTGGCAAGATGAAGAGAGGTGCTAGCCACCAAATCTGTTGAATTGAGTTCGATCCCCAGGACCCAAAATAGTGGAAGGAGAAAACTCATTTCTGTACGTTGTCCTCTGCCACACATACACTATGGCACATCCCCCCCCCACATGCACACACACAATTTCTCATGCACTTGTGCACACACACACACACACACACACACACGAACACACTCTCATGCACGCACACATGTGTACTCGCACATGTGTACACACATCACATTCTTTTAAATAAGATTCATTAGTGGTGATAGTTATTGGAATTTAAAATATATTTTAATATATTCAATTTTTTATTACTTATATGTATGGGCGTTTTGTTTGCATGTTTGTCCGTGTACCATGTGCGTGCCTGGTGTCTATGGTGGCCAGAGGAGGGCACTGGATCCCCTAGGACTGGAGTGACAGACGGTTGTGAGCTGCCATGTGGGTGCTGGGAATTGAACCCAAGTCCTCTAGAAGAGTAGACAGTGCTCTCAACCATGGAGCCATCTCTCCAGCACCCTAATATTTTTTATTATGTGTGTCTGTGCGTGTGCGTTCAGGTGCCTTCATAGGTTAGAGGTGTGAGACACCCCCCTGGAGTTAGCGCTGGTTGTGGGATGCCTGAAGTGGGTGCTGGGAGTTGAACTTGGGTCCTCTGGAAGAGCAGTACATGCTCTTAACTGCTGAGCCATCTCATCAGTCTCAGGATTTTTGTTAAAGTGTCTTGCTATATAGTTGAGGTTAGCCTTACACTCTAGATTCTCTCGCGTCCACTTCTTAAGTACTGGGGCCTCAGTTGTGCAAACCCTAGGTGCTTGGGTTGAGAAAACACACAATTTTGGTTTGTGGCTGAAGAGGAGATCAAATTAGATGGAAGTATGTTGTTAATATTATCAAAATTTGCTTGCTGTGAATGATCTCAATTAAAAGGTAACACTGCGGTGTGGTAGCACATGGCTTCGATCCCGGCACTTGAAAGGCAGAGGCAGCCTGAGTTTGAGGCCAGCCTGAGACCCCCTAGAAACAAGGTAGTGGCATAAATTACCTCCTGGTACCAGTGCTTGACCAACAGGATCAGCTCCCTCACTCTCCTGGGATACCGCTGGAAGAACTGCTGCTGTAACGTGGTGAAGCAGGCTGCGAACTCACCGGGCGCTGCTCCTACTTGATCCATGGATCTTTTGAGATCCCGATAGATCCAGAAGCTGCAGTTCTCACCAAAGCCTGCTGGCAGAGAGCAGCAGGAAGCTCGACTCTGATGGCCTGAGTCAGCTGGAGCTGGGGAGATGTCTACTGACTGATCTACAATAAGGTAGCAGGCTCTTCTGGAGAGTTAACAGTGGGGCTACTCTCCCTGGTAGATAATGAAGGCTAACAGGAAGCCTGACATGAAGGCAGGACGGGGTGGACCTGAGACAGGGTCAGCGGAGCCACACAGAACACATGAGAAATAGATGCCCCAGAGTGATACCGAAGGCAACTGTGTCTGCACAACTGGCAGATGTCTGTTCCACAGAATGCCTTCTACCGGTACCTCTTACAGAGACTCAGGGACACCTCGAGGAGGCAGGAGTGGGGAAGGGTGGAGGTGCACGGAGCCAATTAGTTTCCATTCTTGCCTGCTGAGCTCTGCCATTCATAAATATATTTAGGTACACAGCCTGGGGCAAGCAGCCCTGGGAAGGACACCCTGGAAGGAGTTGGCACATGCCTTACCATTTATTGAGTGTCAACTGTCTACCAGGCACAGTTGAAGTCCTTTATGCAATGATGTAACATGACAGTCCTATAAACCTCTTGTGGGGTGCCACTATCAAGTTAATTGTCTTGAGAGAAATGCCCTGAAGCTAAATAAGATGGAGCCAGTTTTGGGTTAAAGGTCCTTGGGAAAGAAACCATGGCAGCAGCAGCCTACCTTATCTGTTTGGGACACGTAGACCAAATTAGTTGGATTTTTATATAGTAAAGGAAGCAATTTATGAATCCCTCTGTAGGGTCTTATTTTCTCAGAAAGCAACATTTATTGCTTCCTTGTAATGAAAAAAATGTTGCCAGGGTTGGTGGTGCACACTTTTAATTCCAGCACTCGGGAGGCAGAGGCAGGCGAATCTTTGTGAGCCTGAAGCCATCTTGGTCTACAGAGTGATTTCCAGGACAGCCAGGGCTACACAGAGAAACACTGTGAACACTGTGTGTGTGTGTGTGTGTGTGTGTGTGTGTGTGTGTGTGTATGTCTGTGTGTGGTGGGCAAAGGGCCTGGGGCAAGCTCGGTGCGATTTGGAAGATTCAGTTCTACGGCCACCTGGTGGTAGGATGTGGGTGCTACACGTAAAGAGTTCCCTTCTCAGGGTAGCAAGCAGAGGGTGGGCTGGTCTCCTGCCACCAGGCCCTGGGCATTAGAAGAGAGAAGCCATAATTTCCTGCAGTGATGGAGCCTCACATCTCTCTCACCGCTGACTCCATTCTATTGAGGCAGGCACACCACTACAACCAAACAAAGCTGGAAGTTAGCTGCCCTGATCTTAGAGTCGGTGACAAAGGGACTCATGGGGTCATGTATCAGTTACTTTTCTGGTCGCTGGGATGAGACACCTGACAGAAGCAACTGAAGTGGGGGAAAGCTTTCTCTTGGGTCACTGCTGGGTAATACATGGCTGCGGGAGCTGACGCTGAGTGCTTCCTCCTTGGACCAGGAAACACACTGGAAGTGGGGTTGGAGGCACCCTCCAGACTCAATTCCAGGTCACCCACTTCCTGTGGCAAGGACCCTTCTCCTACAGGCTCTACACCTTCCCAAATTAGTGCCACCAGCTGGGGACCAAGTGCTTCAAACTCTAACAGATGAGAAGGGCCCACGGTGGCACCTTGCATTGCTCTCTGATTCAGGCCATCATCCTGAGAAAGCTGTCATGTGGGTGTATGTGCATCTCCATCTTGTCAGAAAATGGTCAGGTGATGCTTATTCACAGTTCCAGTGACCCAGAAGTTCCTTGGAATTGTGGACAATGGAGGCACCCTAGCCCCTAGCTCAGAAGTCCTGGGCTGTCAGACTAGTTGAATCTACCATTGGCAGCACAGCCACCAGACATTTCTGTTCTTCTGTTTCCCCGTTCATCTGTCTGTCCATCCCTACATCCATTCACTTTTCCATCTGTCTATACATCCTCACTTCCTTCCACCCACCTAAACATACATTCACACATCCACCCATTTTCCCATCTGCCCACTCATCCATCCATACATCCTCTTACACACACATCGATCCCCCACTTCTACCCATCCATCCACCCACCCATCTATACATGTAGTGAGCACCCAGCCCTCCACTCTCATCCACCCACTCGCCTATAAAAATAGTTTGGAACATTTTATCTAAAGTAAATGAGATGAGAATGAAGTTCTAGATGGAATAGGCCCAGGATAGGAGTCTTTTCTCTCTTGGGGGTTGTGCTGATGAGTCCCAGAGGCTCATATGTTTGAATGCTCAGTCCCCAGTTGAATTGTTTGGGAAGGACTAGGAGGTGTGCCCCTGTTAGAGGAGGTGTATTGCTGGATCCAGTGACTCTCTTTCTTCCTGCTGCCTGTGGATCAGGATATGAAGCTCTCAGCTATTGTTCCTGTGCTATGCCTGTCTGCTTCCCACCATGATGATGAGGGACTAACCCTCCGAGCCTGTAGGCCAGCCCCCAATCAAAGGCTTCTTTTTTTAAAGAGCTGCCTTGGTCACTAACAGAACAATGACTCAGACAGAGGTTTGTGAGCCCCATTTTGGAAATAGTCAATCTGTCTGTCACAGCCTCAGCCTGTAGGACTCAAGTACTCCCGGAAAGTTTGGGACCCCTACCCCAGTCCCTGGAGCACTCACATAGAGGATCAAAGGCGGGAAGGACCTGCAAGAGTATCTCCTGCCCTTGTACGAACAGCAGGACTTCAAGGGTGTGCCCAAGGCTCACTGACGTAGAGTATTTCTTGTGGTGTTTTAGCCTTTGTTCAATCATGCTGAGAAGTTCACGTTGGTTTTCCTTCTGATCCCGAAAGCTACGGAAGTGATCCATGAAGAGAACAAGGGTGCCATCTGAGTAGCCTCTCAGGAC